CCTGCCCCGGCTATTCCCGGCGCCTCGCGGCTGCGTCCGCGGAGGGCACCGCCTGTTGCCGGCCACGCCGTCTCCTTCTCCCCTCTCTCGGCGGGCAGGGCGGGCAGGGCAGGCAGGGCCCCCGCGGGCGGCTTGAGCTTGTCAGTACCTCGCGGCCCGAGGCAGGCAACAGATTGGAGTGGAGCACCCGCGGGAGCCGCGGCACGACCCACTCAAGCGCACCTACACACCGCAGGGCCCGGCCCCCCGCGCACCGCGCCGCGCACCCGCCCGTCAACACAGCTGCCCCCGGGACCGACACCCGGGCCAAGCCGGCGCCACTACTCGGCGCCCCACAGTGTAGTGTAGTGAAGTGCAGTGCGCGTGTCAGTCAGGCACCTGTCAAAGTGCCACCGGCGCGGCGTGTAAATACCCCGCGCCCAGACTTCCTGCTCCAGAGCTGCACCTGGCGGCGGCGGCGGCCGCGGGGCGGCGAAGAAGACACCCGCCGGCGCAGAGACACTAGCCGGCTTCCAGCTGCCGCGTCAGGTACGGGCGATACTCCGCGCGCCAGGCACCCGCAGCCGTTAGTTCCAGCGCCCGGCGTGCGCCATGAGTGTCGTGAGCGACATGGGGCCCGGCGGCGCGGCCGTGGGGCCGGCGGGGGGGCCTGCCGGGCCGGAGGCCGCCGGAGCTGGCAGTACCGACCAGGACTCGGAGGAGATGGCAGCCGCGGAGCGTGATCTGGCCGAGGATGCGCAGTGGAAGCGGATCCAGCAGAACACATTCACCCGGTGGGCCAACGAGCACCTCAAGACGGTGAGCAAGCACATCGGCAACCTCGAGACGGACCTGTCGGACGGACTGCGGCTCATCACGCTCATCGAGGTGCTCTCGGGCAAGAAGCTGCCCAAGCACAACAAGAGGCCCACCTTCAGGAGCCAGAAGCTGGAGAATGTGTCTGTGGCGCTGCAGTTCCTCGAGAAGGGCGAGGGCATCCGCATCGTCAACATTGGTGAGTGTCAGTGCGCTTGTGTGTCTGTGTGCGGCTGAGGGGGCGTGGAGGGACCGCGGGGGACAGAAGGGGCGCCCGGCGGTCGTCAACGTGCACGACGACCGCCCGATGAGAGGGCAAGGGGCAAAACCTCCGAAAACCCCCCCAAAACATCGGGGCCGTACAGCAACGACAAGTCGCCGGCCGGCTCGCGCGGAGCAAGCTGCAGCGGCACCGCCGGAGTGTCTGTCACTCGCTGTGCGAAACAAACAGCCAACACTGCCTGCCAGCTCACAGGCCGGCCAGAGGGCAGCGATACAAGGATCATCGGGATCCGTCCGCAACAAAAAGTGCAAAGCCAGGTCCAAATAAGAGGAGAAGGGCGGGGGTGGGGGGCAGGGGAGCACCCCGCCCGTCACATCACACATACGCACACACACAGACGCGATTAGGTGGAGGAATGCTGGGGCTGGCTGTGCTCTGGCCCGCTGGCTGGCCGGCCGGCGCGCACCGGGGCCTCTGACAGTTAGGCCCTGCTGTGGCCGGCGGGGCCCCGGCGGCGCGGCGGGCGGCGCGGCTCGGCCTGCTCGGCGCG